ATCAAATGGAAGGCAAACCCTCTTTAACACCAGTCACATTAGTTCCAAACACCTATTTCATGTTAGCTCCCTGTGTTGGTGCTTGTATTTCTCACTAAGGTTATGTAAAACCATGCAATGTAAGGCTATGTAATAAGTAAGACAATGCAAAAATCACACTAAATATCCATTTATCCTAAGTCCTGTTGTTGAGTTAACAAAACAGCCTACAGTATATCCAGGATAATTCTGAAGTAGAAGAATACGTAAGTCCACAAAGCTAGATTGCTTTCCTTATATAAACTTGTTCAGAGCTTGCTTGCATGTTTCTACAGCAACTTTCATCATTGGTCCCACCTTAAAGGACTTAACCTACAAAGTTTCATCATTGTACATCAGCTGATCTGCAGCAGCGTTTTGTATGAGCAATTCCAGGCAGTAAATAGTTCAGTCTTCTAAATCTCTTACACTGGGGAGAGAGCAAATCTAGTGTAATCCGAGCAGAAGTGAGAAGTCCACATTAAACACTTTCACCAGGCACTGGAACACTTTAAAAGCTGAGTAATTATGGTTCCCTGTGGTTTCATAGGTTAAGAGAAACTAAAGAACAACTTTGAAGTTGCTTGTTGATGTCACAGAATTAAGTGTTTTATATACTTACTATACTGAGTTCCTAAAATAAACTCTGTCTTCTTTTTTGCTGTTGTTGTTAAGCACAGAGAAGTTGCACAGGGAATAGCAGCTCTCCAGCTAAGGATCTTGTCCTCTGCAGTGCTTGACAGCCAAAGTTTACAGGCTGTGTAAGAACAAAATGCAATCTCCTTCCTGTCATCCCAGTCCTCCATGAACCTTCTGAACTAGAGGTTTCATACCAGACCATCACATTCAGGAGGTATGGATCAATCTTTGACCCTGTCCAAATCAAACATGATCTGTGGTTTATATTGATATTGGCAACAACTGTACTGATATCAACATGCTTCAAGCAGTTAAACTTCAGAAATACATGAGAAACATTGCAAAGTTGTTAAATTTGATCATAAGGAAAAGCATTCTTATCCGGACCATTTGCTTCAGGTTAATTTATCCTGAATGCTCAACAGTAGGCATTTCTATGAGGAGGAGGCAGGAGTATCTGAAGAAGACTGTCTATCCTCAAGCCCTGCTGTCAGCAGAAAAACGAATCCTGAAGTCTCTAGAAAAACCAACTCATCACTTTCTGTTAGGTATGGTAAATGATTTCTATCATTTTTATAGTTAAACAAGCAAAACCCCTCAGGTAAGTTGAAGCCATAAAAACACTGCCAGTAGAACCAGGAAGCGTTTGTTCCCATTCTCTCACATCTTTGCAGTATCAAGCAGTCTTCGTTTTTTGTCAGGTATGTATTTCTGCGAAGTAAATAAAGACTTAGTAATCAACTTAATTACGCTCAGTAATAAGCTTTTCCTTTTCCAGCTGTTAAAAAACACTTAATGATTCAGATTCAGTTTGCAAAAAATTATGAGTGTTCACTTAAATTTTAATCTAAGAAATTGTCCAGGTACTGCAAAGACAACCAAAGGCAAGCCTTGACAGGCAGGGGCAGGCAGGACAGAGTTCTTTTGCCTGTTGTGTTACCAACTGGCCAGACACAAACCAGCTCCAGCCCAAAACACGCAGTTGCTTTCATGTGATGTGTCCAAATTAATAGGCATTATTTAGATACAACACTGCAATAATACTTCTATATAGCCTCAAGATCAGTACACTCCTGTCAGATGGCTCAGAGACCAGGCAGCTGAGCTCCAGCTGAGCTCCATCCTTCGCCAGACACACTGGTTTGGAAATGTTAATCAGCCTATTGGGGTTGCTTTCCCTATAGCAAGTGACAATTCTCACATGAAATCCCTTTCATCCAAGACTGTAAATATGTACCTTAAGACCCTAGACACAAAGAACCCCATATCCAGTTACAAACAAATCAGGGCTCAGTCCTGCAAATTTTTACTCTGACACAAAGCTCTTCTGAAAGTCAGTGGGACCACTCCGGGTTGGTAAGAGTCTTATAACCAGCCTCCTGTCAGTATTTTATTTTTTAAATTAAATTGCTTGTGTTCTAGTTCTGAAGTATCATGGGATTCTGCATGCAAACAAATACCAACAAATATATCAACAAATCTCTAAACACTTCTTCCCAAGTATTTATGCAAGTCTACTGCCAGAGACATTTCACATACTGAGCTGTGCACTCAGTTCACAACACATACAAACACAGTTACAAAAGCAAAGCCTAATTTTACAAAGGCTCTGAAGTGAGGCATTCAGATTTTGCTCACAAATAATTATATACAGAAGCCAGCAACCGTGTGTCTGCATCTTACCTACTCACTCAGATGCCTCATCAGAAAGCAAAAGGCAATGTCAGAACATAATTCTAGGGTGTTATGTTAAAGATATCAGGAAATTCTACTTTCAGGATGTTAAAGTAGGCCACTTATAAATCACCCCATCTCATCCCATTCTGCCTTACCATACAAGTATCTGAAAATACAGGATGACGATGCACAGTGTGCTCTGTGTCCCAGCTACACACAGGTCCTTAAAGGACTGCTCCCCTTGTTCTTGCTTCTTTTTTTTTGTTCCCTTTTGCTTTTAATTAGCGATATCAATAAGACACCTAAATATGCTTATTTCATCATGTCAGGATTAGATTTAGGTGATTTGATTTCATACTACTCACGTATTTGAACCATCAAAAAAGCATTTTAATACAAACAGTATCTGTTTTTAATGACAGAAGTGCAAATTCAATGCAGAGCAACAGAAACTACATTTCAGCAGTCAAGAGCTCTCAATTAAGTGTTTAACAGAATAGAACCTTGGAAATGTGATAGAGGAAACTTCCATTAAGTGTACAAGTCCAATTTCCAAATAATGTAAACTAAAAGTGCCAAATAATAATCTAAAACAAAAACATCCCTCATCCTCCCCACTCCCTGCCTCCAGTATGTTTAGTTTAACCGTATCCAGCCCAACTTCTTTTGACTTCTGGTTGAGGAAACAAAAAAGACAACTGACATTAATTTCAAACTGACTGAAAATAGGACTAGAGATGAGCTATAATGCAGTTTTGCACTACTGACTAATGTCTGTTAAGTGCCTTGAGATGCACATGGGTAGGGAAAGCAACCCTGTCAATGCAGACATATCCCCTGCCCAAACATTCTGTTTTACAAAATAACTGCTTGCTTACATGAAAAGCGCATCCTGCTACAATAAAAACCAAAAGCAAATAAAATGTGGTATTTCAGGGAAGACAGAGAGCTCTGAAGTGTTCTCAAAAAACCTCAGTTTACATATATATAGGAATTAGTTCTGTCCTGAATGTCACGGCATTTAAACAAATCAGAAGAGTACACTACTGCAGTTACAGACGCTTGTAGTCTGGAAAGGATCGTAGCAGTGCAGTTACATCTTCCCAGAGCAGACATGGAACAAGCTAGAGCAGAGTGGGACTTATACATGCTAAGCATTGTTACTGGCAGTAACCATTCAAGAAAAGAAAAAAAAAAGGAGAAAATAAAGTTGAATCATACCCTGACTAAATCAGTTTTGTTGGTACAAATATCGTTGTGTAGGTTAAGGTCTCTACAGAAAGATACGGCACCATAAATGCAGTGGCTCACATTTTAGAAACAACAGAGGAAATCTGAAGATAAAAAAGGAACTAAGATGGAAGTTTGTAGGATAAAGAAAGAAGAAGAAAATGGGGAAACAAAACAAATTTAAAGCATGACAAGAAGCTTGTTGAAGGAAAAGGTAAATGAGAACCACCATTAGTATCTTAGGGATGGAAGGAAATGAAAAACCAGTGACGTCATATCAGCCAGGACTTAATTAATACTCAACTATATTTCCCTTAGCTACCAGTCTATTTACATTTAAATTATCAATAGTTGCATCTGTATCCATAATAAACCTCAGATTAAGTATCTTCCCTTAACTTTTGAATTGCCTCCAAAGACAGTTAAATAACATTTTAGTAGTGAAAGATTACAACAAACTGGGGAACCCCAAGATTTTCAGCTACCAATGAAGATAAAAACCAGATACAGACTTTGCCAAACAGGAGGAAGTATTTTGCAAAAGGATAAGATCAAACACTAGAGGCAGGATTCTGCTGCAGCTGGAGGCTAAAACTCAGACAATGAATGCTGAAACACATAAGAAATATATTTCCTTTTTCATAATTTGGGTGCAGAACAGTGAAAAGAGGAGTAGTACTGCCACTTCAAAGTTCGATTTTTATGGAGAGTTGGACCTTCCAACCTACAGCTACCAACAACCAGCTGCCTTACTAGAAATTTCATCACTTTATGCTACTCCTTAAAAAGTAATCCAATTCAGAAAAAAACCCACAAATGCAGACCAAACATTTTGAAGAATTCCAGAAAGGTTTGTGCTGAAGAGGGATTTGGGGAACTGAAGACAGTGAGAGCAGCAGCAGCAATACCGAACTAACAAAATGTTGTCTACTGATTCCTTAAGAGTAGAGTGCATCCAATTTTCCTGTTGCTCGGCTCCCCCCCCCCCCCCCCCCCATTTTTAGCTGCATGTTGTTTTTGCTGAATACTATACAGTTAATACAGACTTTTCCACTGAAATATTATACCCATACTCACAGCAACAGCTAAGCATTCCTAAACTACTTTGCTACCAGAAAGTATGCACTTTATTGGCCTTACCATTGATAAGACATTGCCCAGGCCTTTCTACTGCTCTAAACATGAAAATATTAAGTGAAAACAAAACTGAAGCCCTGAGCAACACCAGAGGCATTATGATACAAATTTAGTTGTTATCTGAGCTGTCTTTAAGGTATCTGTCATGTCTCTCCAGTTGCCAGAGACAGATGACCACAAAGAGAGCCCTGCTTACCCCTAACCCCCGAGGTCTTTCTCACAACAGTGCAGCCAGGATTCTTCCAACCCTGCTTTGTTCTGCAGTGCTACAGCAAGCATGGCTGGCTCTTCCTACTCACCACGGAGGGTAGATGTGGATGACATCCTGTGGCCTGCTCTTCAGGTGAGCTGCTGTCTCTCTTGCAAAGAGGACTTTGAGTATTGGTTCTCTTGCATTGATGACAGCATCCTTGGATGAAATACTATCAGGAGACTGTTCCAGCTGCTGGCAGATGGCAACTTGTATTGTACACTCCTCAAGCATTTCTAATATCTTCACAATTAAGACACCAGATTTATCTGGAAAGTAAATGAAAAAGAAAAATAAAAGTGTAAAGTCTCAATGAGGAAATTCTAATTCTAGCACTTTGGAGATGTGCATCCCTCTGTTCTCTGCAGAGCTGACTATGAAAAATACACATCTGAGTAGAATACATTGCCCCACCAAAAAACGTTAAGGTTTTGTGGTTTTCTTTTCTTTATAGATGCTGTTAATAAAAGCCTACCTGAACTTCTCCTAAACACCAAAGAAATCACAAACTCTTTACAAGAAGCTCTCTCCCACCATATTTGAACTTTTTAATCTTGCACCTCACTCACTTTGTTCAGTTTTTTTCTTTTATTAGATACTGCACAAAATAGATTTATTTGGAAACCGAATAACCACATTGTGTTAAACGTGAGGATGTGTTTGTCCTCCTTGATCTTTTTCAAAGCAACAGCTGTCAGGGACCAAGTTCGAATAGTACCTGCTAGGTAGAAAGTCTCTAAAAGCTGATAATTCACATTTAGAGATGCATGCGGAGAAACAGGAAGCAAGATAAAGGCACTGCCTAAAAATTGTCACAAAAGTGATCATCCGTTTTATCAGTAGGCAATCAGGATACAGAAGGCTTTCTTGTTTTAAAGCATAAACAGATACCAGTATCCCCAGTTTGATTCTAAGCATTTTCATCTACGCTGAGCAAGAAAGAACTTTGAGATTAAATGAAATTACTTCTAGCTCCTCTGCAGTCTGCACAGGGCAGGGGTTCCTCAGACAGACATGGATCTATACTGTAAGATTACACAAGAGTGATTCTCCTCCTCACTTAATCCTGCTCAGATTTGCACTCTGGTCGCTGAGGGGAGAACTGTTACCTACCTGTCAAATGCTATGAGCAGTTAGTGGGAAAAGACAGAGTGCCAGAGGACAGGGACAGCAAAGCCCCAATTCTACCCACTTTGATCTACAAGTTGTGCTGGGAAAAGCACAGCATCTCAAGAAAAACAGCTGATATAAATTATTGTCTTCCCACAGCAAAGAAGAAACAGGGCAGGAACTGTGAATGTGATACTGGAACTTAATGGCAGAGCTGCACTAGTTATTTGTTTGTTTATTTTAAGGCCCATTTCACAATTGCGAATGCCTTTCCTTTGGAAAATAAATCAAAATATTTGAGTTCTAGTTTATGAGAAACTTGAAAAAAAAAAAAAAGTAACAACCCAACCCTCAAGAAACCCAAACCAAAGAAACTGGGCCCTAAAACTTTTCAGGTTGGTTTAATAAAGTTGAATTCTAAAAAGAATAAAGAAAAAAACAGGAGAAAGAAATTAAAAAAAAAGAAGAAACTATTTTGTCCCTATTTTGTATTCCCCAGTCTTTATTACATTTTATACTGAAACTGAAATAATTTTGAAATATAAACCTGAAACGTTCTTGAAACCACTTTTATGTGAATCAAATTTTCATCACATGCAACATGCTTCTTTAAAGCATTCTGTTTCCCATGAACCAGTATTTTCCAGCAGGATAAAGGGTTCCAACCAAAAGTACCCCATGTGATGTACATCAGCCATTTCTGTCCAGGCCATTAAAGCTGGACCTCCTTTTCCAGATCTGAGAAGCAAGAGTGGAAGTGGTCCTTTCTGCCAGGTTTTTTGAGGCTGGGCGATGAAGAGAGATGGTTGCCACTGCTATTACTCCTCACCCCATCACTGTCTCAGGGAAAGCTGTAACACTGCAGTGCTACTCCAAATACTGCACTGCATTAAGGTCTGCTTATGTGCAAACTTAGCAGAATCACTTCTGCTAAGTGTGAGCGTGGGCTAGTTTTCTATGCCTAAAGGCAAGGACTTAGAATATTCACACTTGGAATTCTGTTTTGCCTGACTAGCTGCAGTTGTGGTCCTCTGTCAACCCCAAGTCATCTGGCATGCATAAACAAATTCTCCCAACCACAAAAATTCTCAGCCTTCAAAGTAACTGAGCAGTTACCTCTCCCCTCTAGACATACTGCACAATGTGCACTTCCATTTGCTTTAAAAACCAAGTCACCAAAAAAATTATAAACTTCAATTTTGAAACACACCAACATTTATTTAAAAAAAAAAAAGTATTAAGACAGCCTGTGAGAGACTGTTCATAACTTCCAAACTATGCTTTTTGTATGTGCAGAAATTGATGACAATTCTTACTGGTCAGCAGCGTATGTGTTACTCAGCTGATAAAGCAGATTGAAGACAATGAAGGACAACCTAGTAACATTTTTCTTTTAAATACCTCTGACTATAAACCAGTTTAAAATACTGGGTAAATTAAAAACTATACCTATATTAAAGCTTCTAAAAGACACTGGAGGAAAAAACCCTATCAAGGTACCAGAGTTTCTTGCAAGCCAGTCTTAAAGTTGTTTCAAACACTTGGACCTGATACTAGATGAAGATGAATGCTTCTACATTAAAAGCAGCTCAATTTCAGCAACTAGCCAAGTCTCACACTTGGCACACATGCACATTCTACAGAACCACAATCTATTTGTTTATTTAGATGCACAGAGATAGTTTAATTTAATTACTTCAAAATTATTACTACTGCTGCTGATAGAATCCTCTCTCAAACAACATGGCAAAGCACTTTGGATTCCTGGCACACGATGAAACATCAAAGTTCAGAACGCAGCTTCATTTTCAATTCATTTGGCTCTTGTATTGTTATGTCAATCAAAAATAAATCAAACATATGTGGCGGCACAGTGAAGGGAGAATTTATGGGTGAGGAGATGGGCTGGCTCACTGCAATTTCTAGTTTCCAGAAAAGTTTACTTGTTTGTTCATCCACGTGAAAAGCTCTCTTTAAGGTGTTGCAGTGTTCTCTTTCAGCTTGGATAATTCACAGAAGTTCTCACTTGCTGAAGTCCTCATTCATTTAATTTTACTTGCAAAGCAGAATCACAGCCCAAGAAATTCAAACCTGCAGAGGTGCAGGTTTCATGGCAAGGCCTAGTAATCTTAAACAAGGAAGAATACAATATAGAATCATAGAATAGTTAGGGTTGGAAAGGACCTTAAGATCATCTAGTTCCAACCTCCCTGCCGTGGGCAGGGACACCTTACGCTAAACCATATCACCCAAGGCCTCGTCCAACCTGGTCTTCACTGCTGGGGATGGAGCATTCACAACCTCCCTGGGCAACCTATTCCAGTGCCTCACCACCCTAACAGGAAAGAACTTCTTCCTTATATCCAATCTAAACTTCCCCTGCTTAAGTTTTAACCCGTTACCCCTTGTCCTGTCACTACAGTCCCTAATGAAGAGTCCCTCCCCAGCATCCCTATAGGCTCCCTTCAGATACTGGAAGGCTGCTATGAGGTCTCCATGCAGCCTTCTCTTCTCCAGGCTGAACAGCCCCAACTTCCTCAGCCTGTCTTCATACGGGAGGTGCTCCAGTCCCCTGATCATCCTCGTGGCCCTTCTCTGGACTTGTTCCAACAGTTCCATGTCCTTTTTATGTTGAGGACACCAGAACTGCACACAAGACTCCAGGTGAGGTCTCATGAGAGCAGAGGGGCAGGATCACCTCCTTCAACCTGCTGGTCATGCTCCTTTTGATGCAGCCCAGGATACGGTTGGCTTTCTGGGCTGCAAACGCACACTGAAGCCGGCTCATGTTCACTTTCTCATCAACCAACACCCCCAAGTCCTTCTCCGCAGGGCTGCTCTGAATCTTTTCTCTGCCCAACCTGTAGCTGTGCCTGGGACTGCTCCAACCCAGGTGTAGGACCTTGCACTTGGCATGGTTAAACTTCATGAGGTTGGCATCAGCCCACCTCACAAGCATGTCAAGGTCCCTCTGGATGGCATTCCTTCCCTCCAGGGTATCAACCGAACCACACAGCTTGGTGTCATCGGCAAACTTGCTGAGGGCGCACTCAATCCCACTGTCCATGTCAGTGACAAAGATGTTAAACAAGACCGGTCCCAACACCAATCCCTGAGGGACACCACTCGTTACTGGTCTCCAGCCGGACACTGAGCCATTAACCACAACTCTTTGCGTGCGGCCATCCAGCCAGCTCTTTATCCACCGAGTGGTCCATCCATCAAATTGATGTCTCTCCAATTTAGAGACAAGGATGTCGTGTGGGACAGTGTTGAACGCTTTACACAAGTCCAGGTAGATGACATCAACTGCTCTACCCCGTCCATCAGTTCTGTAGCCCCATCATAGAAGGCCACCAGATTGGTTAGGCAGGATTTCCCCTTAGTGAAGCCATGCTGGCTGTCACCAAGCACCTTGTTGATTTTCATGTGCCTTAGCATGCCTTCCAGGAGAATCTGCTCCAAGATTTTGCCAGGCACAGAGGTGAGACTGAGTGGTCTGTAATTCCCTGGGTCATCCATCTTCCCCTTCTTGAAAATGGGGGTTATATTTCCCTTTTTCCAGTCGTCGGGACCTTCACCTGACTGCCATGATTTCTCAAATGAATTAAAAAAGGAGGAAGCAATAACTGTGCTGCAATCCTGCCCATTCCTACACTGCATATTATTATTTTATTTCCTATTCTGCTGTCTAGATGACTCATTAATTTCTTTCTTCAGGGTTTGTTTTTAACAAAATTCATGAGCTAATCCAGCTAACTGCAAGGCCACCAAAGCACATGAGCAGATACTAGGGAGAAGAAGGAAGAAGTGATGGAAAGAGTGGAGGTGGGGCAGGAAAGGGCTGAGGGAAGATGGTTCTTTTCAGTGACAGCCCAACCAGCCTGGATTAAGCCAGTTTCAAACAGTATCCAGTTACTTCTTTTCTTCTACCATGCGCAGGCTGGACTGTCCTTTGAAGCTCCTTCAGCATGCAGGAAGAACACACAAGATGAAGTCACTGAACAGAGATACCAGCTGTTCAAGGTGCATTGTCCACAGGCACATTTGATACCATCGATGTACATGTTCTACAAGTCTTGGCCAAATTCTTTCATCTTTTTTGATCTTCAGTGTCCATAATGGATAAACACCACACTACAGTAATGAAAACATGAGT